GTTTTTCTCCAAAAATTACCATGATTACAAATGTGACATTGATTTTTTACAACAATTCAATAAACAATAAGTTAATTAAGAGACTTACGTTTTAGACACCATATTGCCTGTTTTTGCTCTATTTCACCAACAAAAATCATTCCAAACACAGCCACAGTACAGTCTTGCGTCTCTGAGCAACATGACGGTGTTTCGTTCCTGAATGAATCAACTGTTTAAATGATTCGGTTCAATCGAAATTTGCCTATTTTGGCGGTTTTACCTATTGGCGGTTTTAATTTCACATTTAGATTTTTTTTCATGTTTTAAATCATTTCAAATATCAGTATTCAATGTTTTATGTTTAATATATCAAAACATCATTTATGCATTTGTAATTGCAGGTTAAATGCATTCATGTCTTGCATTAAACAGTGTGTAAATACATCTAAATGCCACTTCAGATGCAGCTTCTGTGTTGATTTCATTTGCTTGGTAACAGCCCAAATGTCTTATTATTCTAATTCCCTGATTAAATGTAAGAATTTGACTCAAGTGATAATGGACCATTTTTTTTTTAAAAATGGCTTTATAAAGGTAAAAATGCCCATAAAATGTAAATATCAGTTTAAATTTATTGGAAAAGATTAATTTCTATCAGTATGAACTGACCACCACACATAATATGAAGAATATCAAAAACTTTAGGAGTCAGCTGTCTTCGGCAGTCCTTAAGGTACCGGCACAATAACACACTCAGCAAAATATCGTCTAATTACCGTTATCGATAAAATCCCAGAAAATATCAAGATATAATTTTTAGTCAATATCGCACACCCCTAGTTGTTACTGTATTTTTTTGATCAAATAAATGCAACCTTGGTGGGCATATAATACTTATTTTTTAAAAATCATTCAAAAATCCTACCATCCTTAAACAAGGTAGTGTCAATTATAAATATTGAGGAAAAGGAACCATGCGTAAAATGAATCAGAGGCAGTAAATAAACAAAATTCTATTTTGGAAATAAGTACACCAATAGTTAATGCAAAAAAATTACACAAAGGTGAGTTTGGTGAATTTCTGTCACTAATTACAGAGTGGCAGAACAACGCACACATGGAGGCCTGGGGAAAGTGTGCTGCTTAAACGGCCTTCATGCTGAAGATAAGCCATTAACAACTCAAGTTATGAAAAGAGAAAAGAAATTGTATTTTACCACTGGTTTTTGTCTACATAGAACTCAAAATAGACAATACACATAACTGAGCACATACTGGTTATAAACAACTAACTAAAAAAAATGTCAAATTATGTTACACCAAATTGTTACATTATCAGCGTTTATTGTTTAACAAAGACAAAACCTACAGCATTTAGCTGGCTGAATATTAATATATGCTAAACTATTCCAATAGATTCATCAGCTTTCCCCCCTGGACCTGCATAAAAACATATTAAGCAGCAAAGTCAATTTATCACTAAAATCAAACTTGAAAAACTGTAACTCAGCCAGCAGGACTGTAAAATCCAAGGTTGTCTCTTAAAACCAAGTAGGCTGCCTACCTAGACAGCATTTTTCAACATTATAGTCTCAAAACTGCCAACCAAGATAGGATTTATTTCTGGTATTATATTCTTAAAACCCAGTGGGCTTCCAACCTAGACAGCATTTTGGGTATTACAGTCTCAAAACCTAAAGCACAGCCTACCTAGACAGCATTTTGGGTAACAGAGTGGCACAACCTAGTAGCGTGTCACCTACCTAGTCAAATATTTGGTCATTACGTTGCTCTTGCCTCTTCATAGTGTGCAATATTATGTCTATTGTGCAACATTCCTGTGCAATATTTGTCCACTCACTGGAGCCTTTAGAATGCAAACAATGCAACATATACATATTTTCTATTATGTGCAAACTGTGCAATAATGTGTGCAATACGATATTTAATAAGGCTTAAATTTGCACTATCGCCTTGTTTGTGCTGTCTTTGTATTGTATTGTTAAACAGCATACCGTTTATCACTGACTGTATTGCAGACAAGGCTTAACTTTGCACTATCGCCTTGTTTGCATTGGCTTGTGTATTGTCTGTCTTGTATTGTGTAGTAATAATATACTTTATTATTGTTATTAC